CAATATTAAATCTGGTAAGGACTATTCGGAGTCCCGGTGGTATCTAATTGTTTCACAATTTGCACTAGAGGACATGTGATAACAGTGTCAGCTGTTTTGTGTTCGGGATGTTTTTCTGGTAACCCGATCCTCGGGTTTTTCCAGTCTGACGTGAATAAGATAAAGTCTCATAAGATTAAACATCGACCACTTGATGACCAAGTATGAAAATCGACTAGCAAGACCTCACTCACCTCAGTTTGAACTGCGGTGGACCAAACCAGTCAGCGGCTGTTGTCGTTTTTATTTCAAGTGGCAACTAACTCATTTCCACTTTCGAGGTTCATAGGGTACGTTATCGATAACTGTAAATGGCAAAGTATTTCTACTGAATAGAGCTACTACTACTCCTCTACACTTATGGATTATTTGGATCTTTTTAATAGTAAAATTTCAAGATGGGGTCTAATATTTGAATTGTCTGAATTATAGTATGAAATAGGAATCCCAGAAATAACGCAACTGAATTAAGAAGTAAGACACAAGCACAGGCGAATGTATTGTAGTTGGAATTCGAAATCACGAATTCAACAAGTACAAAGGTATCATTAGTTCGTTCAAACATCACATCCGCCACAGCTTAAATTGGAGTCTAGGTGTTTGTAATCAATCGTACGTCTTCTTCTCAAATTCATCCTGAGTCTGTCTGACATTGTATTGGATAAGGATTCTGTACTATCTAGAATATGCTCATTAGCATTAGAATTAACAATCGAAATTGGAACTGACTCACCAGGTTCCTGAAATTGTATTTGATCTACATGTGTACTTAAGTCATCGATGTCCAGAATTAACACCATCAATTTTCCGACATTGTTCAGAACAATACCCGTAGATGGTCGAAGATCATTTCCTCGATAGTATGTAACTTCTGCAGACTCCAAACATCTCATATTCGACCGAAGAATTTTTCCTTCCAATAGCTTCGCTGGAGTCTCCTTCGTCACCGAATGTCTGGCATTTCTATATTGCAATAGAAAGGTATCTACTCCCCTCTCCAGCTCATTAAATGTTGAGGGGGCTATAGAATCAATAGCAGTCTTTAATGTCCTAACAAAATTCTCTGCCTGACCATTAGAACACGGATGTCTGGGAGCAGTAAATAGATGTTTGCACCCTATACCGTTCAACCAGGTAATGACTGCATCTGCAGCAAAATGTGAGCCATTATCAGTCACCAACACTAAGGGAACCCCTTCTCGACTAAACATCTTTCTTAATGCTTGTATTGTGAAGTCAGAAATTGGTGAAGTTGTGAAAAAAACTCCAGGCCACTTTGAAAAAGAATCAATGACTACTAGTGCGTAGTATTTACCAAGAAATGGTCCAAAATAGTCAGCATGAATCCTCTGCCAGGCCTCAGACGATACTGGCCATGGCATCCACTTCGAAGGATGATTTTTCAACTGATGACATTTCTCACAATTGTTTGTCGTACGACATGTATCTGCATTTATCTCTGGCCACCAGCATGTGAGCCTTGCCAAGGACTTCATTTTCTCAACACCTAAATGACCACTATGAAGATCTTCAAGAACAGATTTACGCAATGAATGAGGAATGACAACACGATCATTTAAACACAGAATACCATCAGGAGTAGTAGATAGCTCATCCCGCTTTGAAAAATAGATAGGAAATCTACGTTTCAAATTAGCATTCCAACCTTTCCTTATAGCACTGCGTATACATCCAAAATATCTACGAGTTTCTCTAATGAGATCTGAACGTCTCACTGGTAAAGGTTGCACTAACAAACAATCCGAAGTATTAATAAGTTTATCTTGTAATGACTGTCGAGAAATGTAATCAACATGTTGAATCTGTTTGGCACTTCTGTGCTGAACCGTATAGTCATATGCACTTAAAGCAATACTCCATCGCTGAACCATAGCTGCTGAGGAACGTGTTAATGATTTTTCAGGATGATAAATAAACTTTAAAACTTCATGATCCGTAACAATAGTGAATTTCTTTCCGAATAAAAATTTATGAAGTCTTTTAACAGTCCAAAACACAGCTAATGCTTCCCGCTGAGTCTGTGAATAACCTTGTTCAGTAACAGTAAGTTTGCGTGAAACACAAATAACTGGTCTACCTTCCTGTTCCAAAACTGCACCAATTCCCACAGGTGATGCTTTCGTGCCTTAAAGTAACCCTCGTGCTATTGATAGAAGAAACCAGACAAGTAGTGAATAGGTCTTTATTTCGATCTTAGCGCGGTCACAGTGGAGCGTGGGATTATCTATTCAGACAAACAAAGGCTCTCAACATTCAATATAAGATAATGGGGAATATAAAGCTTATACAAAACAAGGAAGTGAATGGATACTTGAACAAAACTGTTTTGGCATATGCTTGGTTGTTTGGGATCAACTCTTAACCAACCAACCTAAGCTGTTACAATGCATCAGTAATAAGCACAGAATATACATTAGGGGAGTACGTTCGAAGAACAGCATCACTTTGAAAAAACTTCAGTAGACTTCGTAGGCATGACTCTTGTTCCTCACTCCATTTGAATGAATTGGATGTTGAAATATTAAATAAACAATTTGCACGACAAGAAAAATTAAGAATTAAACGGGAATAGTATTGAAGAGCACCCACTAGTGAACGTAATTCTGTAAAATTTTTCGGAGACGGTGCATTAGTCAGTGGAGCTAGTCGTTTCATATCTGGTCTAAAACCATTACCATCAACTAGGTATCCAAGGCATTCAAAACTAGATACACAAAATGAACACTTATTGGGATTCACTGTAATATTCTTTTCAGTTAAACGACGTAATAAAGCAATAAGTCTCTGGTCATGAACTACCTTATTAGAGCCATGAACAATGAGATCATCTTGATAAACTTCAACACCTTCAAGATCACTAACTACTTTATTCATAACTTCCTGAAATATGGCCTGAGAACAACTTAGACCAAATGGAAGGAAATTGTATTTGAACATACCAAAAGGAGTGTTAGTTGTCGTCAAAACAGATGAAGATTCATCTAAAGGAATTTGAAGATAATCATCTTTTAGGTCAACTTTCGAGAACACTTTAGAACCATGAAGTCGATTTAGAATATCTTCAGCTTCTACCGTCGTGCACGTTTGCTTCAACAAGCGGGAGTTCAGAGTTAATCTATAGTCACCACATATTCCAGGGGTCTTGCCGTCCGACTTCAGTGGTGTAACAATAGGAGTACCCCATGCTGAAGACTGAATTGGTTCAATTATGCCTTTCGCACACAAGTCGTTTAATGTCTTACGTACTGCTTCTCGAAGACCATGAGGAATTATTCGTCTTTTAGGAAAGACTGGATCACCCTGTACTTGAAGTTTTATAGGCTTAATTTTCATACCTCCACTGCACTTAGCACACATAGTTATCAAATCTTTAAGTAAAGTATCCGAATTTTCTTTAGAAACTAAGAAGGACAACTCCACCTTAAGCCTTTTCAAATTCTTTAAACCCAAAATTGACAGTCCTGTTTCGCTAACTAAAAATTCACAAGGTATGTATGAAGAATTATCATCTCTGATTAGCAATTCACAACATCCTTGTATGGGCAGCCTGTGTCCAGTAATTCCCAATATTGATACTTCAGTGTGTCGTACAACAACGTTAGGATCTAAAGATTTCAAGTTCTTGAATGAAATAATGGACTCTATACTGTCTGTGTCCAGAATAAAGTCGTGAAATGAACCAAGCGATGTATATAGACGTTTTTGAATATGAGCATTACCTTTCGAAACAGTAGACAAAGATAAATGGTTATTAGAAACATCCGAATTATTGAAATTTAAATTACAAGATTTAGTACAGCTTGAAGTAAAATGAACAGTAGCTTTGCATACTGACTGAATGTGTCCTATCTTACCACATTTGAAACATTTAGCACTACGAAATACACATGAATTGCGGGCATGAAACTTTCCACATGATAAACATTTACCAAACTTCATCTCACCTTTGTGATTTGCCTTGTAATTCCTCGTTGAAACACCTTTCATATTTACACGAGAATAGGAATCACTGTTAAATGAACGCAAGTTTGATTGACCCTGAGATTGTAGTTCATCATTACGACAAAGTAAAGTATTAGAAATCTTCATCGACTGGATATCAAGTTCATTGACTGCTTCGTAGTTAATACACGCAGTTCTGGCATCTTGAAAGGAACAGTTTGGCATTTTTAACAGCTCTCTTTCCAAACTCGGTATGTTAATTCCTGCAATTAATCGATCTCTCAGTTGCACATGAAGTTGATCACCGAAATTACACTTGGCAGCTTGTTTCTATAATTCAAGGATGAATTCCCGAGCCTTTTGGTCATTTTGACGAACCATCTTATGAAACTTCGCCCTTTCACGGCATTCAAAACTGGTGCATTTTACATGACTTAATAATAGCTCTTTAAGAGTTGCATAAGGGAGTGAGATAGGTTTTTCTGGATATGCCAAAGTTTTTAATAAGCTGTACGCTTCTCTCACAATAAATGTCAGAAAATGTGCCACAATTTTATCACCTTTAATATTTTTCTTGGTCATGCTCCAGATTTCGAACCTTTCCAAGTAATCCTGAAAAGCTTCAGAAGTTGAATGAAAGTATCCTGACAGCTGTTACAATATTTGAAACCGCTTTTCTCATCAAAGTAGAATAGAGCACGTCTGAGAAAAATATGTACTTATATATGTGCCGAAATGTCTGGTAAACCAGTTCAGAGCTTAAATTTACACTCGAGACACCTGTTAAAGCGCTCATAGATGTCAGTTGTATGTGACGGCTGAGTATAAACTGCCCCTCAAAATGCTTAGAAAAAAGATGAGATAAAGAATACAAACGGCGTTTCTTACTATTAAATTAACAGTATGCATGTTTTGGATTATTGTTTTACTTTTCCAATTATTGTTAAAACCGTCGTTGTTTCGCCAACCATTAGACCTTGGTTTCATTTTTCGCTGTCATGGTGAAGATATTCGTTGGGAACCTAAATCCAGAATCCAAAGCTTCTGATCTCCGCAAAAAATTTGAAGCCTTTGGGAAGGTTACGGAATGTGATGTTGTTAATAATTATGGCTTCGTGGTAGGTTGTGATAGTTTTCCAATCAATTTTCTAAGCATATGGAGAAAGAGTCTGAGGCTGAAGCTGCTATAGAAGGACTCCAAAATGCCATTCTTGATGGGGTGAAAATTAATGTTGAACGCAGCCACGGAAAACGAGGTGGTGGTCCCGGGCCTACTAGACGTAGAAATGAAGGGCGTTATCGGGATTATCCGCCGGAAAGGGGACCACGTGCACCACCACGTTACATGAATTCCGGCCCACCTCCCCCGCGAATGGGACGTTATGGTCCGGCTTGGGATGATGGGTATGGAGGGCCCTACGGACCACCACCACGTAACAGCTCTAGAGGTAATATATGCACTATGAATTCATAATCATTTAGGTTACGATTATCCCCCAAACGGTGCCAATGGAAGGTATCCGCCAATTGACCGTGGAGAACAACACAGACCACTCCCACGTGGTCCAGCCCGTGACCCACTGCCGCTACCACCTAATGTGGGATATCGTGGGCCTCCAGTCCCTGAGCCTATACCGTCGTCTCGAGATTATCCCCCAAAACCTCCCCCAATCAGACAAAGTTACGATGTGTACGGTGAATTTGACCGGTATCGGGAGCCAATAACACCATCAGGTCCTCCACGTGCGAACGATTATTATGATACATACGGCAGCTATAGCAGCGGAAACTACGAGTAGGCTCCTTTCTAAAACACTAACCACTTCAGAGACTATAGAGATAACGATAGATCAATGTCTAATTACGATTCGGGATACGATTACAGTTACTATGACTATGGGATGGATAGCAGATCACCGGTTCCACCAAGATCAGGGTAGGCGGTTATAATTACTTAATAACAACTAATTATCAAGGTACAGCTACGGTCGCCCCTAACTAAAGTAAGTGGTTTATGATAAGCTACTCAGAATGTATTACTCCAAGTGTTGAGAGTTTGTGCGTGCGTGGTCGTCTAAGTTGCTTAGTAAACGTGCTTCTCGTTTGCCCGCAGCCTAGATCTGTGCGTTGACATTACGTCCAATTTTTCGTTCCCCATAACTCAAGTTTACCTAACATTTCAGAGTCGTCCCGTGAAGTCAAACGCGAAGCAACCTCGAATCACGTAGGCAAGAGACGTTTGCATTTATTACTCGTTTCCTGTTCATCGTTCGCATCAACGTTATTTGGCTAGTGTCAGCAGTCGTACCCACGATCTTCTGGCTTTTGCGTTTTTAGACATCAATTCACCTTCAGTCGTAAATGTGACTTCTCGTTTTTATGCGTCATAAGAGACCGTCCAAATTTACCATTTATCTTTTTTGAAATATAAATTGTGTTAGAAATCGTTGCTTTTGCGTTAGTTGTAGTCTACCTCGTCTGGTCTCCGCGTTGCTTCACGTTTCATACAACTTTTTATTTAGGCTAGCAAATCTCTTGTTGATTATAGGTAGTATGTGTCTATTTGTCAACGTCCGCAGCTGATTTCCAGAGATGGCCTTCATGTAAGAACATCGTACTCCGTCAAAATGCCATGTCAGTGTCTCGTGCTGATTACTGCTTCTGCCACGTTTGTCAACAACAACTTGTGGGCTTTTAAAATACTTGCTTGAATAAACCGTCAAGACCTTTTTATATCTCATACGGCGTTTTCATACTGGCATTCGACAATGACACTAGCCTTCACTGCGTGTCTACATTTTTCATCCTACACAACATGGGGTGCTGTTCTCTACGAAGTCGTAAGATCATTCCGTGCATATATGCAAGCTTTTTTACACAAACGAAGTCGGAACTATGTGGCGTCGCAAGTATTCATCGGACTAGAGAGCTATTTTTTGTTCTAGTCGTAAAAATGAGTACCTTCAGGTGTGTTTAGAATTTTTTCTTCATAAGTAGATCTTTCATCACTTGGTGAAAGTGTCAATTAATCAAACGTTTTTCTGAACAGAATTGAGTTTTTATGTGCAAGCTGTGAATCTATCTTAACCAATCACCAAGTCTTGACGGGTGCCTCAAAAGTTCAACAACCATGTTATAGTCAAACATTTCATTGAACCCTCATAAGTTCCAGTTGGATAGGCTAAGTAATACTATCTATATTTATGGGGAAACCTGTTGTTCGTCTACTCCAACAACCGAATTCATGTATAGTTTGATGCCGTCCGAATCTTACACCGACTCAGGGTGTGTAATCGAGTCTATAAACACCCACACATTTGTATCATATATTCCTCAGCCTACGTTTAGGTTCGATTCACAGTAAATCGGCTGGAAGATGTTGATTATTCATCGTCTCGTATTTGTTGTATCGTTACAGTTTCTGATAATCTGAAGACATTTCGCAATAAAGCGGTTAATTAGCAACGCTGAGGTTCTCCCCGGTATATATACCGGAAAAGAACTGATTTTTCCCAGTATTCTCTGAATGTATGTGAGTACGGAACAGTCTGATGATGATGCTGAGCGACCATAAAATCGATTCTTAGCATCGGGTCTCAATTCTAAGGCGTCAAATGGTTCCACACTTCCCTAAACTGGATTACTGTTCATTTTGCCACGTTATATTAACGGGTTATGAAGGACAATGGTTTTCGTCAGAATGATAAGACGCATCTCATCATCGATGGTTTTCGATTTCCTATATATTAAAGTTTCGAAATAATATTTCATTTATTGTATTAATTATTGATTTGGACTTCAAATAAACAAATTTATCCATAACTCCTTGTTCTCTGGACAAATTTAGTAAATGTATTATATTAAATACTGCAATCTGAAGGTGTAAAGATAGTCCATCACATCCGTAGTTGTCTTTAGAATCCTAAAGCGGCCGAGAATATAGGTCAAATAATATTAATTACGATGGTAATGACGTTTCCTTTGTTCAGTTGATTTGTCACTGATGTCATCTTCATGTACTCCTAAGCGCGGTGGAGTTCTGTCGTATGGTTCTTTTCTGCAGTGATGCAGCATTTAAATTCTAAACTTAGATGAGTGTTTAGTAACACTTGCTAGAAAGTTCCGAGTCCTTTGGCTTGTGTTACGATTGTAGATTTGGGTGATCAAATTAGAAGTCATGGGTCACACCTTGTAAAGCCGCTGAAGGATCAAATAATTTATTGATGTGATCTTTTTAAACACACCCTCAGACAACGGGATGCTCACTGTTCTTGTCACCCGTCAAACTGAAACTTCGTGGAAGCACCATCCTCTGCAACAGTAGTGTGAGGCGTCATATCACTCGTACTCAACATGGGACCAGACACAATTCCGTATCGGTTTTAGTTAGCACTATGGAATTCGTTATCGAAGACTGCATGACTTTTTTAGGTTATGTAGAACCGAGGAATGAGTTACTATCGAGCTTTTGACTGTAGTTCACCATAATCCCACAGATTTTCACCTACTAGTCTATTCCAAACAGTACGCCAACATACAGTTACCAGTTTAATGCATTGGTGCAAGTTATCCATCTCCTCGGTTTCCCGTTTCTTACTTAAACTCTGTTCCCAAATACACACGTTACTTGGCGATTCCACCATTTTAGGGTGATGCTTCGAAAATGTGTAGTCGAACATGCCTGACGAGGTATATCTCTTTTCAGTCTATTAGCACTTGTCCTTCCAAACATTTTTGAATAGGACGTGGAGCGTGTTTACATTTATCTCTATATATTCAGTGATCTTTGAGTAGATCTTGCAGGGCTTGGAATCTGTTAAGAGCTGCCTTGGATTCGTCGAGTTTGTCAGTCTCTCGGTGGAAGGCTATACTGAACCTTTGTAATGCTGTCACTCCAGTGGTCTAGTGGTTCTTTAGCTTCACTTTTATCTTGGCCACAACTAAGTGGTAGTCTGAAGGTATGTCGGTTCTCTTGATTCTCATGTCTTCCATTGACCTTCTGAATTGTTTATTGATGCAAATATAATCTATCTGATTCCCTGTAGTGTGATTCGGTGGGGCCCATTTTGATTTGTATAAATAATCAAAATACTAAGAAGAACCAAGTTAAATCGAACTGTCCTATGGCGGCGAAATTGTAATGACAACATTTATCTCAGTCCAACAGAGAATGTATTCACGTTTTGGTTTGTTCACCTCTAGCTTTCTCCCGGCTTCATCAGCCTTGCGTTCTTGGCTCTATATTTGGATCTTTAAACAAAGCCCAACTTCGTGTGTTCTACTAAACAACCGTTTCAGTATATCGCATGCTCTACGATAACCCGATGATGGTGGAAGCATTATGCATCATTTTATGGCCTCTCGAGCCTTTACAATAATGTAACAAGATAAAGAGCCGTTGACCAACGTCTTCGACCTTGGATACCACATATAACTCGAGCTGTGACAAATTTCCTGTATTTGGCTAGTTGCCCATCAGAATTACTTAGTTCTACCTTTGGGAGCTCAAGACCCACACCTAGAGATGTCAAGGTCACTTCCCTATTCTTCGATCGCTGATGGTCTAATAGATTTGGCTTTTCTAGGGAACTTGATTCTAATGTCATGAAAACGACTCGCGGAACTTTGAACATACTCCCGTCTTCTGTCGACACAGCTGGAGGCAAAAGATACTTTACTACATATATTCTCTTTTAGCCATAACGACCCCAACCCTCTCTGAAAGCGCAACAGCTGCTTATCTTTAAAATCTCTAACAGTTGTCTTTTCCTCAACTGCTTTTCTTTTAAATTTGCTAAGGTGATGCTAGAGCTAATTTTGATGTGCCTACTCACTAATCTAGTATTAGTGCTATGACATGAAGATATATCAAAAGAAACTTGCCGTATATCAGGAGGCGCATCTGACTGCATTTCTTCATGGCCCAATACTATGTCTTTGTTGATCTTATTGCGCTTGCCAGGCATTGCAGTGTTCGTTTGAGAACCATCTCATTCGGAGTTGCATGCTAGGTGTTATAAAAATACGTAAGCAATCGTTCGATGACACCTATTATCAAATACTGGTAGCCTGCGAATATCTACCTTTTTAGACACTAAGTTTCACTTTCATGAGTAAGAACAACCGGACGAACACTTACACAGTATACTAGCCCTTTAGTTAATGAACAGTCACCTCGCCTACTCCACACGTTGCCGGAAGCTAATCAAAATTCTAAATTGTGCTAAGATTTCCTCAGTCAGCAATATCAAGTTGCATATCTCAATAGTTTAGTGAATAGATAAACCGGTATTTGTATATAGTATGCAAAATCAGTAACTCCGCCTGGAGTCCTTCCAGGGGTTACTGCCGGTCCCAAGCCCGGATAAAGGAGGTTAGCGTCCCCATCCCGTAGAAAATTAACTCGCTAAAAAAACACTAACCAGAAAAATTATACAAAATCAGTACACTAACTAATTTGACTAAAAGATAAAGTTTGTCACTTATATACTTGTTTCCTCGACAGTTCCTAAATTTGTCAGCGTTTTTTAACCAAGGTCTTGATACGTCTTAGGTGTTCTGTTGTTACTTCAGTGAAATCGAAGACCGCTTATTGACTAATGATTTTTAGAGGACTTCCGGGTTTGGAGGCATAATGTTCAAATGTTTACATGAATTCGCGTCGAAATAAACAAAGTATGGCTATAGTATCCGAATTGTTTTTAAAGTCCTGACATTCGAATTTCTATACATTTCCGGTTCCACATCCAGAGCTTTACGCCAGTGTGATGTTTAGACATAACCTTCTGGTTAGTCAGTGACGTTATGTAAAACTATCTTTGATATTTTAGAAGAGAATGAATCTACTATCATAACGTTAGTTAAAGTTGCTACCAGTATACTTGATCATCATTGTTGCTATTCCATTCTATCGCGTAACTTAATATTTTATGGTTAGATTAAATGGTATTTTACCATACTCATATTATTTCGCGATATTTAGTGCACGAGTGTTATGACGGTCGACATTATTAAGATGCTTTTCCTCCAAGAACCACTTGTTTTATGCATATACTTGCTCTTCCCACATAAAGTACCTGACAAGGTGTTTCTAGTTACTGTGCATAAGTCTATTGACTTGAAACGATATATAGTCCTCAGATTAACAGTTTACTAATCTCAACCTGTCATAGCCCAAAGTTGTCACCACAACGACATGAAATTATATAGATACTGAAGTAGTACCAAC